TGTACTTGCAGACATCATTAATTCAATCATATTATGTCATATGTTTTGAATTATAGTTGCATTTTACGTCCTCTTTATCATCAATGTCATCTTACTTACTGAATGCCCTGTTCAAGCCATAACTAATCATCATTATAGTTTTTGATTTTTTCGATGTTGTTGATTAGTCTTACAACATTGAGATGTTAGGTAAAGGAGAAGACACACATGTGTATATCCCAACAAATGCAGTATATCACCCAAGATTGGACGAACCAGATTAGCAAAACAAAGGTAGGCAACAAGAAAGGAGTAAATAAACACACATTGTTGGTGAGGGGCCTCAAGTAGGTATGTGTTTCCCATGTAACAAGCTATCATAATTATCTTCCATTTTTTTTATCATTTTTTGCTGACTTTTAAAACTTCAATCAAGCAGCAATGTGCGGGGTATCTTCTAGTATAGTATAACTCTTGTGGTCAGAACTTAAGCAAGATCTTCTAGTCAAGAACAGAGATAGAATAAGGAATCGAGATTGTCTATCCCGCTGGATAGAGTAAATTACATAAAACCACCATTTTGAAGGTTAGGTTTACGAAAAAGATTACAATACATTTTTTTTGCAGAAAACACCATGTCTTGTGTATTTTTTTTGCAAAAAGCACTAATCGGCATATATGGCTCGGTTGAGCATGCTTATCACAGTTGGGGCTCCTTTTTGCCTACATGGCGTAACATTTCATGCCAGGTCAATTTTAATCTAATTTTACAAACTGGTCCTTAGATTTTACACAGACACCCCTAAATCAAAAGGAAAAAATGCAACAGACGATGTGCATCTCTGCTCTGTTGGTCAACGCAGCCTCATCCCGCACGCAGCCTGCGCCGAGCAACTACTCGTGCTGGAGGCCAAATCGAGGCAGCGGCGGCATCCCTCGTCGTATCTGGCAACCGGCGTCGGGCGCCTCCTCGCGCTGGAGGCCAATCGAGGCGGCGGCGCGGCATACCTCGCCGGATCCACAACTAGTGCTGGGCATCTTCGAGCTGGAGGCCAAATCAGGGTGGCGGCGCGGCATCCTTTGCCGGATCCAGACGAGGTGGCGGCGCTGGGGGTAAATCAGGGCTACAACGCGACATCCCTCACCGGAGGTAGCGGCGCCTGGAGCGCGTGCGCACACCGCCGTCGGCGGCTCATGTGGTGGTGCGTGGTGCGCCCTCCTCCGCAGTTCAAGTCCAGGAACTGGACCTGGTGCGCCCTTCTCCGCAGTTCGCTGGCTTCGTCTGCTCCGGCGAGCTACTACTTGCGGCGGTGTGCGGGACGAGGAGCTCCTCTCCTCGGGCGGCTGCGGGAGCGAAGAGGGAAGGGCCTTGGCCGCACGGGGAAAGAATATCAGGTGTGTTTTTGCTTTTTGACCCATCTAGCATTATCTTTGGCAAAACGTTGTGCCATGTCAGCGAAAAACGGGCCCCAACTGTCATAAGTGTGCTCAACGGAGCCAGATCCACCGATTACTGGTTTTTACCGAAGACATGATGTTTTCTGCAAAAAAAATGTATTGTAGTGTTTTTCGCAAACCTAACCTTCAAAGTGGTGGTTTTATGCAATTTACTCCGCTGGATAGACTCTTTGTCCTAGGGTGGAGAAGACCACATGACCTAGATCACATTTAATCACCTAGATCACATTTAATCATTTCCTATGCTACCTTGCCCGTTTCAAAAAAAATATCATTTCCTATGCTACCTAAACAAGGAATTGGATAGATTCACATCTGTTTATAGCATTTCTTAGATATTTTTCTTTCTTTTTTGCTTCTCTTTTTAAAACATAACTAACTTGTTATAAATGTAGAAAGCTGTCGACGTGAATAGATCGCACGCCCGAAGAAACCTCCATATCTATTTTTCACGGGAAGGCGATTTCACATCTACGACTCACCCTTCTACCATGGCGGCTCCGGCCGGCGGATGGCCTTCAGGGTGCGCCTCGCCATGAGATGCTGCAGGGCTGGAAAGGTCCAGGGGTCGCGGCTGCAGGCAGCCCGTGAGCAACCGGAGGCCTCGTCGACCTCTCTCCTCAGCAGGTACAAGAGCGTGCGGAGTTACGTGTGTCGGGCCGTCTGGAGACTCGCTGCCAATCGCGCTCCACAAGCATAGTCAAGTTAGCAGAGCTGTGAATAGTTTGGAAGCACACCATGGGGAGTAGTGATGGTGCGCCGCTGTCCATGAGCTCTACCTCATCGCCACGGGGTGGCGTTGGCTGCTGATAAAAGGGGCCCTCCTCACGATACTTCACAATAGTTAACTTGCGATCTAGTTTTTCACCATTGGGGCTGCCCGGGTGGATGGATTGGTGCAGTGGACCACCGGGAATTAATCCGGGAGCGTCTCGTGGTGCCCACGTTTGCATCGAGGACGACACACACAATATCATCCACGACGGAGAAGCGCATAGTCATGGCGGGGGCGTCCTCCACTGTTCACTGCGGGAGGGGCCGTCCTTAATGATCAAGGGGTGCAAATAGCGCATCTGCAGGCCCGTCAATGCATTTGCAGGAACGACGGTGGTGGTCGCATGTCACGCTCACTAACGGCGCAAAGGGGATTATCATCCGGTGTGAGGGCACCGACCATTACACAAGGAAGCTCAAGGCGCCATCGGCAGAGTCTGGTGCTGATGGGCATGGGGCATGCCGGCGGTTCCCCACCCGCCCACCAGCTTCTAGCACCGGGGCACCGGCTTCGACTATGTGGATGCTGCAGTGTGACTCGCGGTGGTGTGGAGTGGCAACTGGCAACAACGAGTTTCACGCTGCTAGATGTGTGTGCACCTAACGGTCGTGGCAGTGGTTTAAGGTGGGAAGATGACCCCACCAATTTTCTAGTGGCTTTTGACCCTCGCATGGAGCACTAGTGAAGACGACTATCAAACGACCTGTCATCAAGATGCTTATTGAAACACGCTTCATCTCCGGAATGAAACTTTTGTTCTGGCCTTTATTGGTCTGGCTCAGAAGCAAAGAACTTGTAGTGTTATCTTGATGAAATCGTTATTTACTTGATGTTGTATTGGTCTTCAGTGACTGATCTTGGTATTCAGGTGAAAATCCATGTACAACATGTCTCTGGTCCGACGTGATGACGATAACACCGGGTCGTTTATCCCTTCTTGAATGTGTTGTTTGTGGAAGAAGTAGACTCCATCATATGTGTTTACTATTTCGTATCTTGTAAATGTTTGTCAGTGATTGTCTTTGGTCTTAACTCTGCTTAATAATTACCTAGCCAAAAGGGCCGTGAGTTGCAATGGGACAATAAAATCGTGGTCTTAAAATTAAGTTCCAAATATTTACACTACATGTATATACACGTATTTGAATATTTGTTCATCAACTGGCTCGAATGTTGACGTAAGACACATGCATTCTAACATGCTCACAATGGATCAATGTTGGACTTGATCCTTGATGCGTGCATCTTTTTGAGTACATCATCGATGCATGTATGAGAAGGAAAAGAAAAAGTCAGTTTCACGATGGATGAAAACAGAAGAGCCCTATGCCCTATGAATAGTTCGGAGGAACACTCATTTTTTCACTTTTACGGTGGCTAGGTGGGTAATTTACATCAAATTTAGGGGCAATTGATTACAGATGAAAAATTGAGAGAAAGAATCAACGAAGATTTTTTTTACTTACGGGTGATGGGGTGGTAATTTATTTCAATATTGGGGGTAGTTTCAATGATTGGCGAAAATATTAGAGAAACAATTAACAAAGAGTTTTTTTTACTTATGGGTGGCATGGTAAATAATTTATTTCAACTTTATAGACAACATAGGGTAGGCGGGCGGACCAAAAATCAGAGAAAGGCACCATCCCTTAATATCAGGTATAGATAAGAATTGTTGTGTGCATCGCAATGATGCAAAGGCCAAAGAAAAAATAAACTACCGCCTTACATGATACATGATGAAGTCCAAGAAAAATACTGACGAAATACCGTGTGTACGTTTGGTAATTTTTTGTAAGGGGCAAAAATATAATTGGAACTAAATTGTGTTTGGAAGCCATGAACTCACAAAATGTTGAGTTGAAGTAAGAAAAAAACTAAAGAAGGAATACTTTCTGACAAAAAAATAGGAGTACCTACCTACCCTAAAAAATGTTTTATAAAAGAATAATAGACTTGACCACGTAGCAGCACCCACATGTAGGATTTCCCAGGTGTCGGCTTCCCTCATCTCTCTTTCATGCATGTATGCATGCAAAACACATGACATCAATAAATATTCTTCTAAATTTAAATTTTTAAAAAGTTTTATCTCCCAAACCGTGAAGTCAATTGATGATCCACTTTCACCATCAGTTTCCTCGAGACGAGATCTAATCTCCTGCCAACATGTTTTGGCAACTTTTTTCCGAAGATAGTTGCCGGATTTCTATCACTTAGTTGTTAGATTATGATACACTCAATTGTCATATTAAATTAACTTGATTGTCAGATTGTTGAACGGCAATAGACACTAGTAGAAAACTTGGTCGATGGTATTTCTCTGGCTTAATGCCTATTTTGTCCTATTGTTAACGCTTAGAAATTCACTCTATACCTTTTTTTTTTACCAAACACTCTATACCTTTCGTAAAGGTTACAACATCTAAAAACATACATCCTATTATCTGGTAACAATACTTAATTATTGCAGTAACTGCTCACAATTAGCATTCACAACTATGTTGACATATTCTGGCAGCTAGAGGTGACAATTTTTTTTTGTCAAAACATGACAATATGGGATCTTGTTTTGAAGCCGCTCGTCGAGACGAGCTCACCAGTGAAAACGGATCACCAATCAGATTAATGGTTAGTGAGACAAAACATTTTAAAAAACAGAAAAAAGCAATTAGTATAATGATGTTAGTGTGATGTGTAAGATTCATGCATACATGCATGGATTCTCTCTATATCAAAATCCCATTGGAATGCCGCCGCACCGGACGACACTCATGCGCACTATGTACTACTCCTAGTTTATATTTTCCCAAGAATAATAGAAGTACCTTGTGTGAGCTGGGCCAATTGGCAGACGTCGACAGAGATGTAGGTGGCGCGGCCGTCACGGAGAGCGGCGCCAAGGAGCCCATCATCCTCGTCGGGCTCCATGGCAACATTGGGGGCGAGGTCGGTGATCCGCACGCACCAATCTCCGGAGCGGAGCAGCGCCGCGACCAGGTGCCTCGCCATGAATCCCCGGCCGCCGGTCACCGCGCACAACCGACGTGCTTCCTGGCCGACCGGGGAAGCATCCATGCATGCGCGTGCTAGCAAGTACTGTACGTACGTATTAGTACAATCCAGCTGCTGGATGTGTACGATTTTAGTCGCTCGATCTTTTGGGTTGCCCTGAAGAAAACTATGACCGATCAAGGAGACCGAAGACGATGAAGGAAATGCTAAAACGACTGGCAGCATGGGTTGAGTGGCGGGCGGGTTATATATTGTGCTCGACCTAAATATATTTTGTACAGAGAGAGTAATAATAAGCACATGGGCTGCTTATATGCCCGACAAAGTATATAAATGCAATAATTAATATTTTCTGTTTGTCCTGATGAGCTGCAGGACAAGGCATGGGCGGATTGATGGGGTGCAGGCCGGTATTAATTTTCCTTGGTGATCCATTAAACGGCTGTCGGTAGGAGATTTATTCTCGTTGGGTTGAGTGGCGGGTGATCTTTATGTCGTCTCTGTTAGTTCCCTGCGTGTGGCAGGGTATCTATAATTAGAGTTAGACTAGCCACAATGGGTAGTAACATAGACTAGTAACATGCCCATATTACTAGTCTATGTTACTACCTTTATAGTGATGAGTAACATATGTGTGGTAACATGCAATACTTCATTTATTAGGCTATAGCACATCTTGCGTTGATATGTGTGATGTTACTCATATTAATAGTAACTAGCTATGTTACCACTTTTATCTCTTTCTTCATTTATTGCATGCCGCATCATCTATTTAACCTAGATATGTGTGATGATACTACCTATGTTACTCCCATATGGATAGTCTTAGATAATTACTGACCCATCTTAAAAATAATCAAAATAATAATGCCCACACATGCGGCAGTTATCAACATGCCCACACACACTCGATGTCGTTCGATCCATTTGCACAATTTTTGAAGCAGTTGCCATCTGGGTTAAGAGCCATATAAGCACCCAGCGCTGTGTACGCATTATCATTTAGTGCCACACGTGTGGGCGCTCCTCGCCCGAACGGACATAGGAACGCTCGCCCGAACGTGTGGGCAAAACTGGTCTTCGTCCACATGACACTCACACGGTGATAGATGGCAACTACAGGTGTGTATATGTGACAACTAGTTATGGCAACTACGGTAGACCATACATGGCAACTATGGTTTAACCACACAAAGCAAGTATAGATGTGCATATGTGGCAACAAGTTAATCACGCACAGCAACTATGGTTGATAATACATGGCAACTATGGTTTGACCACACGTGAAAATTCCAAATAGTTACACATGGAAACTATATTTAATGATACATGGCAGACATGGCAACTATAGTTAATTACACATGGCAACAAAAGTTGATTACACACGCATTCGCGCTCACCGGATGGGGGTGAGCAGTTGTCACATAGGGTCATGTGGGCTGTCGTAGCTACACCCAAACGTGTGGGTGGTTTTAATGCTCATCCACACAGGGTCGTGTGGGCGGTCTCATGGGTACAACCACACGACTCGTGTGGTCGGGTATCCATTATGCCACATGTATGACAGTTATCGGCGTCTTAAAATAAACTTGCCATAATGCTGGTGCACCCACATGACCCTTGAAGATAAATTATTGATAGACAACCCGACTGCTTGCATCATAGCTATTTTTTTAAATAAATAAATTTTTAATAAAATTGTTAAAGAATACATGGTTTGTTAATTTTACGAAAATAATACAGCGTCGGCTCTAGCTAAGCCGAGTGGATCCAGTCGGCCACGGGGAAGCAAATTAGGATCCAGTCGGCTTAGGCAAAGCCGACTAGGACTCATTCACTGCAAGAGAGGCCAATAGGGCCAATTCATCCAAGCGGCAGCCAACTATTGGCTGAGCCACGTCATTCGGCCTGACCGGCCCCCGGTCGGCCACGCCGACGCCGACCAGCCAGTCGATTATGGCTAAGACGATAGGTAGCCACTAGCCATTGGGCCGGCCCTTCCTTCTCTCTTCTTCCTCCTCTCTTCTTCTCTTCTTTCTATCTCTTTCTCCTCTCACTAAAACAAAGCCCCTCGAATTTATACTTGTTTTTGAGCCGTTTTTGCCCGATTTCCACCGTAGTTGCATTCTAGAGGGTTGGGGCAGGCTAGAGAAACCTAGATCTCATGATGGGATAACTCGTGGTGGTCTTGCTGATGGTTGTTGTGGAGGTGGAGGTGGTGGTGGTTGTGGTGCTCCAGTGTCTCTCAGTGGGTTCCTAGTGGTGGTGGTGGCAGAGTGCGCGGTGGTGGTGGTAGTGCTTCCCGTCGGGAAGGAGGTCAATGCACCTGAAGGTGATGGTGGTTACGATCCTGGCCAGAGCGGTGAAGGGATACATTTATCTATGTAAAATTTTGCATCAAATGATGGATATGATGTTGATGAATCGGGGCAGAGTAGTCAGGTACAAGGAGAAAATGCCGATGGTTATTACAGTGGTGAGGCGGATGCTGATGAGGTAGATGGGCACATGCAAAACCAGATGGAAGATGAAGATACAGATGTTGATATCGGTAATGCCAATAATTCCGACGAGTCTAATGAAGAAGAGAACGCAGAGGAGTTGCCTAATCCTGCATCATGGAATCACGACTTCCCATCTGCAATGACCGTGAACAGCGGCCATGATTCTGTCTGGCAATATCACCAGAACGACATTGTGACGGGTGCTATATATCCAACCAAGGAAGCTCTAAAGGATGTAATCGTTAAATGGTCAATGTCCACGCAAAGGGTTTTTAGAGCTCAGGTGTCAAGTCAGAATACTTGACAATGGTATGCAAGAACAATAATTGTCCCACCAGGGTGCATGGCTATCTCCCTAAGTATGGCACAAGTTAGGTGATCAGTGACTTAGTACATCACACATGTCTTATTCCCAGTATCCCTCAAGATCATGGTAACCTTTCGTCCATGCTTCTTTCTCGGTTGCTTTACAACGAGCGAAGAGCAAAGCGATGGAAGTGAAGGCTATCCAGAAAAAAGTCTTCGTCAGGTTCAAGTACGTAATTTCTTATGGCAACGCTTGGAGGGCTAAGCACAGGGCCCTTGAGACTAGATTTGGTTTGTATTTCGATGCATATGACTCAGTTGTCCGGCTCCTCCGCACACTGCAGGACCAGAATCCAGGCACCTATATCGACAACCAAGACTTGTTCATGTCAAAGTTCCCAACTATGAGGGCGTTGCATTGACTGTTCTTCTCTTTCGGTGAATGCATCAAAGCCTTCAGTCATTGTCGACTGGCGATATGTGTAGATGGCACTTTTCTCACTAGCAAGTACAAGGGTCAGATCCTGACCGCCATTGGTCAAGATGGCCAAAATCAAGTTGTCCCACTCGCATTTGCTTTTGTGGAGAGCGAGAACATTGAAAGCTGGACATTGTTCTTCAAGCAACTGAAAATGGCAGTTGTGAAAGATAAGCCGAATGTGTGCATTCTTCATGACAGACATGCATGCAGCTATACTCAGTGCGGTAAAGACATTGACAAACGCGGGGACTGAGGAACAAACTCCATGGCCCAAAGAAAAAGATGGCGGGAAAGGGTTGGCGAGAAAGAATGGCGGGAATGGGTTGGCGGGAAGGATAATGCCGGGAACATATGGAGAGGGATGGCGGGAAAGGGTTGGTGGGAAATCGCGGCTAACTCGGGAGAGGGTGATGGGATAAAATTATGGTCGTAAATATGGTTCCATGCAGCCATCGGGCGAAAAATTTGGTCTCACGCAGCTGTGTACTTTGCCTAAGCCGATTAGTACTAATAGGTTTCGGCTAAACTAATTAGTGCTAATGACTCTGCCCGACTGGCCAGTCGGGTTATTAGCCAGAGCCGATGGTGTATTATTTTTATAAATTGTCAAAACGGCATATTATTTCTTGAATTTATTAAAAAAGGTATTATTTTAAAAAATAGCTGCATTATACTTGAGCAAGCAGCACGTACTAGCACATACATGCAGTCCATGGTGCACGAATAAAAAGCTAGATATGGAATTGCTGGACAGCTACGACTGACAGATTATTGGCGCCCGCTGACTATAGGGACACTCTCTTCGTCTAGGGTATAAGCTTTAGAGCTTGAGGAAGCGGAGCAAGGCCATGGCCAATAGGTTGAGGAGGTCGAGGATGAAAATGTTCAACAGCCATGCTTGATTCTGTCCGAGAAGTGAGATGTGGCGATGGACCCAGTGCGAAATCAGGTGACCCTATCGTGCACTCAAGTACTATATGTACTTGCTCTCCCACTTCTAGAAGCTTCATCCGCCGTGATGCAAACAGAAAAATTATTAGCCCGGAGTGCAGATGACGGATGGAAAGGGGTTTGACGAACTTACACCATGGCGTTCGCACTTGCAGAAATGCCTGTCTGGGTTTTGTTCCGTGCCTGTGACAAACAAAATCACGTAGCCCACGTTGCTTTGGTGCAACGGATGACAGGGAGCGTAGTCAACCGGTTGACGGTGGCGTGGGATGGAGGTGGTGTGGAGTTGCAGCACCGGGACATGAATGAACACATGCTTGTGAACTATGATGAAATTAACTGAGGAATGGGGAGTGAGCACGGAGAAGAATAGTTGAGTAACAGAAACAAACAAGCCGGACGTTCAAAAAGACTGAGGGCCGGGCAGCGGGATGGAGATAGTTGGTGGGGCTAACATATACTCATTGCGCGTCTCATTTCAATGCCTGAGGTTGCCTTGTGGGCCATCTGCTGGCATGGTCAGAGGTAATATGCATGCTATACAACTTGTGTACGATGGGATGGAATTGATTATACGGGCTCGATGTATTCCAACTGCACGAATCACATGGGAACGAGCGGGCCTGATATCAACCTCGCGTGGCTGCATTTCCGCTCGTGATTTATATCGGGACATGGTGGCGCGCGAGGATGGAATCTGCAGTCCATTCATTCTATGAGATTAGCAACTAATATAGTGATTGAATGAATGCCCAAACAATATGTCACGTTAATTCAGCAAATACATGCACATGGGTTGGTGGCTAGCCATCTTAAATAGAGTTGGATACAAGCGATTGCACATGCAAAATATGGTCCTTACCGTTATGCCGTGTTAATGTGATGCAGGCCATTTAAAACGCTGGTCCACACCATCTAAATATGTTTGTCTCAAACCCGTATGCCTTGAATGGCAATTAACAAGCGTCCGTTTTCGTTTTGGTTTGTTTTTCTCGAAGTTCATTTTTGTACCAGTTCATCAGAGCTCTACGTTCATTTTAATGCCTCGTGGATGATGGGACATCCCCTTAAGAATTAATGTACAAAACATACACATGTTACGATAAGCCGGAAGTAACAGATTTCACGGGAAGGTAACAATATTACTCCTACATAGTACAACCTTCTCCAACTTGCTCGCTGGGAGAAGATAGAACGAGAAGATGACCATGGCATCAAGCTCAAGCAAAGGCGGAAGGTTTGTCGTCCGTTAATGTGCACTACTATAGCAAGACCTTTCCTATACACAAAATATGTGCTTCGGAGAGTTTTTGTTATCGATTTACTAGGCTCGTTGGTAACGTAGTACAGGAGCTGGCAATGTCCACCAGCTTATTCTGCACAGGTTGCATAACCGTGATGGATTAGATCATTAGAAGGAGTTGACAAACTAATCCATTCAGGCCATCGGATGAGCGGAAGGAGAGCTACCTGTTCTGAATGGATACTTGTTGAAGGAGCTAATGAACTAGATTTGAACATGGAGGGCAGTGGATCACATAATAGAACACTCAGCAGTTGAACAATCAGTCTAGGAGGAGGATGAATGTGAGGGAATGAACTAGATTTTTTTTACTAATGTTATATTTTAAACTTCAAATTGTATCTGCTTTCATGATTCATGTTAAATATGATGAATGAAGTCAACTGATTTTTCTGGTAGAAATTGAAACATGTAAAGGTTTCAGTTTTAAATCGGCAGTCTAAAACATACAGCAACACTAAAATACCACACTTAATTTTTAACAACACTGTTTCGCAAAAAAAAAACTGGATGGAGAGAGATGGTGTGATTATGGCCTAGGTGCAGGTTTCAAATGCACTTAACATTTACGGCATGTGCCTGATAAAGGATGTTTGCTCCTAGTAAATGAGCTGGGTCACGTTTATCAACCATGTGTCCCCTTATGCATTGATTGTTTTGTGTATAGAATACTGCAAGGATGAATATTCAGTATGTGATATACACTCATTAACGTATGAATATGGTACGAATCTCAGAGACATGGATAATGAGATATAGACCTCGCACGACACCATGTCCACTCATGATTTATCGCTTGTTTGGACGATAGCATGTTGTACAACATAGGCTTCAGGACACCCCCTTATCTAGCCACTCATTTCTGCATTGCGATTCATGTAAACACTTTTGTCTTTTTTGTTTCTCCCATATAAAACAACATTGAACTTTAAACTTTGCAGTACAACAAAATGTTCTAACTAGAATGTGAGGAAAAACTTTTGGTTTTTGGGTCCAATACAAATACTAAAAATAACATTTTTTTTAATAAGAAAAATCTCATTTCGTATATTTATGTTGGACCAAAAAATCTGACAGATTTTTCCCACATTGTAGTTAGAATGATTTGGTGTCTTGCAAAGTTTGAAGTTCATGTGTAGTTTTATTTGGAAGAAACAAAAAAAAGGAAAATTTGGTGTAGTTAGTTGTATAGTACATATCTCAAAGCAATATTGGAGGGTAAGGATAAGGGATGTCCGGAAGCTTGGGCTTAAAGAGTCCACGTCCCTTGTTTTGATATGGGGATTCGTAAAAAAAACAGATTTGTTTTTCTTTTGAGATGAGAACCCGATCTTCTTTACATGGCTGATAAGTTATAATCTTAACGGTGTAACAAACCTGACCTAGTATGTTAGGGCCTGGCTAGGGGTTAGTCGACTAAAAAGAGTTGGGTCAGTCATTTTTTCTACATTGTTTGATGTAAAGCCAATGGTTAGATGGCCTTCTTCCACCTCCCGCCCTCCTATGTTCATCCACTTACCGCCACCACCGGCTGAACCGCATGTTTTCGCAGCTCGTGGCCGCTGAATATACCGCTCCAGCTTTGCCTTCCCCTCATCGTCGCGATGGCACCACCTCTGGCCACTCCACTGAACTGGACCACTAGATTCTTTTCCTGGTAAGCATGTTCCGCCCCCTTCCTCTTCCCAGCACTGACAACCTTCGAACTCACCTCCGCCGGTTCACCACTGGCTACGGCTAACCAATCTATTTTTATGTATCTAGAGAATTTTTTGTGTCAGTGGTTGCATATACTATATTGGTGCTATAATATCACATGGTGATGCTTCTTTTTTCGGCTGGTCAAAATCGTAAACCAAATCAAAAATTGAATACCTCGATTGATTGATAGAGCTTCAAAATTAGGGAACATAGTAAATTAAAAGAATTGAATAGGAGAGCTTGAGAGACCGTTGACCCGGTCAAAATCGGATGACACAATTCTAAATTGAATACGTCAATTAATTGTGAGCCCTTCAAAATTGGAAAGCATAGTGTATAATGTAAAAGAATTGAAGCAAAACTGTTGACCCGGTCAAAATCGGTCACCCAATTCTAATTGAATACATCAATTGAATGTGAGCTCTTTAACCTAGGGAGCGGTGTTATAGAGGATGAAACATGTGGTGCACTCAACGGAAAGGTCCACGTGTGATAAGAAACAATTATCAACAGAAAGGCTACAACTACGCTTTCATCTTGTGATGTCGTCTTGCATATTGCAGGCGAATTCGTCAATTAAGCAAACACATGTAGAGCGCTCACTTAGCATGCGAGAGGTACCACTTTCGTTTCTTGAATTTTTTATCAAATCAAGACCACGAAATAATGAAACGTTTATGATATCACACTGATTAATTTACCGAAAAAGGCTTTCGTCCTGCTTTATATTATAAAGCAAATCGCCCAAACCAGACATCCGACGAGATTCACACACACACACACACAAATAAGGTAGCAAAAGGGTTAATGGTGAGGGCACAACTCAACAAGCCCTGGAAACACAACAACACACTCAGACACAACAACCTAAGGAACCGGAGGCAAATAGATCAAGGAACCGGAGGCAAATAGATCACCGATCGCTGCGTTGCTGGGACACACAAAGAGAGCAAAAATAGAGCCAGGCATTCTCTTACAAGGATGGGTCGGTCGTTGCCAAAAACTGCCTTGTGGTTAAGGTGTGCTAAAAACAAGCCTCTCTTGACATCATTTTTTTCCTTCAATGAAGTGTCTTTTTTGCAACTACTACAACAAAAAGGCTACTACTGTGTAACAACAACCACAAAAAGGCCTTTTGGCCATTGGTGTGTTGTATTGTATGGCATCACTACGTTTCTACTTTCCTCCCTTACAGGCAAACAAAATCCAGGCTTTTGTACAAGGGTGACAGTCAGTGTCCACAGCAAAGTAACCTGGATGGAACGAATTCAAGGACGGTCGTGGTCAATCGAGTTGCATCAAGAGATACAGAGGAGAAGGAGCACCCGGAGGTTCAGAGATTACCATGCCACTTGAACTGGAACTCGTCAGCCACAACAGTGGTCGCGAGTGACGGTACAACACAGGCTCCCATTCCTGGCATTAACCTTACCTAGTGTAGATTCCCAGCCACTTTCCTACAAAATGTTTCTCTTGTTAATCGTGATTCCCTGACCACATTCCTGCAAAATGTTTCTCCTGTTATGGATGACAATAAGAAAAACACGATGTTAACTGCCGTATGAGACATGACAAGTTAACTGCACTATGCACATGATAAAGATGTTTTTGAGTTGCTAAAAGGAAACAGCCTAAAAGACAACATCCATGCACAGAAGTTGACACGAATGGGTTATTTATGGAGCATTGTGACTGAATTGCTGTTCAGACACGCCATAATTTTTTTTCCACTGAGAACCTATTGATAGAGGGAAAACTAATAAGAAGCAAAAGCAAAGCCGAGGGAATAAGTTGCAATAGAGAAAGAGGGAGAACATAAAGTTTGTGTACAGAATGGTAACTAAAAGCAAAGCTAATAACTTCAGAACCACAGAGCAAACATCACAACAAATTATGTTTAACAGAACCACTGAAACTTCAGAACAATAAAACCACAGAACCACTAAAGTTTGAGGATAAAAATTATGTTCAATACCATAACTTGACCTAGAGCGTATATAGGTTGTCCCTTCAGCAGTGCAGCTGAAACAAAACACACAACAGATACTCCCTCCATCGCATAATGTAAGACGTTTTTTGACACTACACTAGTGTTAAAAAACTTCTTACATTATATATGGGACGGAGGGAGTAGTTCCTTGACGATATTAAACCCTCTAGACAAAATGAATACGGAGTATGCAACGAATAGTCCATACCTACAGCGTGGGCAATATATAGCAAGGTTGCATGATATGTAGCAAACAATATCTGAAAGAGCAAGGAGGTTGCTCACGAAACAAACTCAGCCATACTATGATCAATGAAAAACAGGGAATCTCAATTGTTAACTATACAAAATAGCATAGAGAAATATCGAAAGATAAATCAAAGTATAGATCTTGACTCCCGGTGTTGAACCAAGCCTAATAACATGGCCTGAGTTGCACGACACCACACCACCTCTAGCAATACAGCCTCACTCCCATCATTATTAGCTTGCTATGATCACTACCAAAATTACAAAATATGACATGCTAATCCTTGTAGCATACAAATTTACTTTCTCACGACAGTCAGAAAGCCTCCAAAGGCAGGTTGGGCGACAATATTACAAGCTATAGGGCCATAATTCCACTTCTGACTAGCAACTAAAAGTCGGCAGAGACATCCGAATGAAATGGCTGGGTTGCCGCATCGTCAGACACACTGAGAATTACTTTTCCATTCGCCAGAGCTTCTGCAAGAAACAAAAGGTCTGCCTTCTGAATACCAGGCACGTGCAATGGCACCAAACTGGGAGTGATCAATAGCAGTTTACGAAGAGATCTAGCCTTTCTCAACAAGAAACACACCAGCTGCAGCTCAAAGCGGTTCCAACTGAAGTTCGTAATCTTTACCACCTTGAGGTTTTCCGAAACATCCGTTGGTGGCTCTAACCCAACATAGTCAAACGAATCAACCAAGGGCTCATAGGGGGCAATAGGGAGCTGCAAGCACAAATCATGATCATTTAGAAGCATTGCGATGAAATAAAAACACAATAAAGATGTTAATGTAACAAAATGACAGACTGACTACTGACAAACCAAAAACCATAAAATTTGTAGGTGTTAAACCTGCACAAATAGCCTCTCTAGATTAGAACAGCCGCTCTTTTTGAGGAACACATAGATGTTTGCAAGCTCAGGGGCATTCATTTCGAACAGAAGCAACTGTAGTCCCGTCATGCGTGGAAATAAGTCTCCCCCCCATCTTGGTCGATTCGGCATGTGAGGTTGCATTAAGCAAGGAAGACACAACCTATTTAAGATGGCATTCAAGGTGAACAAACCGTCCATGATTTCAAATATCACAAACTAAACCCAAGTTCAGCTGAGAAATGCATACATACAAAGAGGACAATGCTGTGGTGAGGGTCGCGAGTTTTGAGCAAACACGGCTTTCGAACCAGTCACTGAACACCTGATAAAGTGCAAAGGTTAACATAATTCAGACATATGAGTACATGCTAATCATGCATATGGTAACTTCTGAAGAAATACCGACAAGAAGTTTTCCAATAGACCTTTTGACAGATGAGGACATTGCAGCTTTTCTGGACGCCGAAACGAATGTCGAGGTCGGCGAACGACGTCGGGCAGACAGAAGAAGAAACTACCGCTGTAGCGAAAAGACCAGAGGCTAGAGACCACCGTGAAGCCCACCTCAGTGATGGAGCTGCAGTCTACGAATACGATGGTGACGCTCCTGAGGCTGGAGAGCCCCATCGCCGCGGTCACGAGGACACGACTGACGCCCGTGCAGGCGCGCAGGCCGAGGACGCAGAGGCGGGGGCACAGCACCAGCATCCTCGCCAGGTCCCCGTCGTCGAGGCGGACGGAGTGGAGGCAGAACACCTCGAGGGCGGCGCACGGCCGGGCGGCCCTGCTGTGTAGGCCGGCGACCCCGATGCCCCGCAGCGAGAGGCGCGCGAGGGTGGGGCCGGCTGCCGCTGGGAGGAAGAGGAGGGGCGTGTCCGGACCAAGGTTTTGGTTACCGAATGAGGCAATTTTACCGAGGGGGACGGGTAAACATGCTTACCACGGTTACCGGAAAATACCAAGAATATTTCGAACGAATTTTATAGTTAAATTTTGAATTCAAATAAATGAATGAACCAACATTCGAATTAGAGACCTGTCAAAAGAGGAACTAGGTTGCTACCAAGACCCGTCCTCCGCAGCTCGAAGCGGAGGTCATCGACGCCGCAGCGGGCGGCGGCAGCGAGGTAGCGGCCAAGCCCGCGGGGGCGCATCGAGAGGGTGTCGATGACGAGGGAGTAGCGGTCGATTCGCCTGCGCCGGCCGTGGGACTGGCGCAGCTCGAGGGCCACCAGGAGCTTGGTGGAAGATGGGGTGGAGTAGGGGCGGAGGTGGTGGTGGAGGGAGGTTGAGGGGTTCCCGTCGTCCTCCCAGCGGCGCGCCTACAGGCCGCGCCAGGCGCAGGAGAGGAACGAGGCGAGGATGGCGGACCTCAGCGGGAGGAAGGTCAGGATGCGCAGCTGAAGCGGCTCCAGCAGCGCCGAAAGGTGGTCGAGTTGCGCCTCCGGCTCGTCGCCGTCTGCCGGCTGCCGCAGCCTCTTTGCGGCGGCGTCGCCGCCGGATCCCAGCGCCATTGTTCCCCACTACACACTCTCTGTTGCTACCGAGCTGGCCGACCGTTAAAAAGGCCAGATGTTTCTGGAAGGCCGTCATGAATAAAGCCCACGTCAACTTTCCTGGCCCATCTAAGAGCTCTCCCGGCGTGTTCACGGGATGCGCTTCTTCTGACCCAACCTGACGCCGGCAACGACGGAGCGGTGGCCCACACTGCCGCCGCCGCCACGGTGACCTTGTCTGGCGGCACCGACTGCGAGGACGTATCGTGTGCAAGGAGCTGTCTAATGCAACGAGTGCAGCAGTCCAATCTGAGCCGCCGGATGCACAATAGAGGGACCAGATTCTGTAAACCGATGGGCTGCTGGTAAATTTTATACATTGATCCTTAGAAAATAGTCCATTTGCACCAATAGTTCTTCCCCAAAACTTGTTCTCTTTCGTTGACCTCTCGTCTCCTATACATGAGCTTATCGACGATCCAGATCGTCAGCTAGTACCTACTTCCGGCGCCTCTGAAGCATCAGCGCCCCTCCTCTGCTCCAAAATTGTCGTCCCTATCACTGCATGGTACAGGCGTACAGCTCAATATGATGACAAAATATTTGAGCAATTGATTCCGTGTACATGTGCTAGCAGCATACTAACAGTCCAGTTGGACTTTAACTGCAATTAGACACTTCATTTTTTTAGGCAATTCTTCAATCGACCATACCATTTTCAGATCTGCCATACTTATCCTCTTTCCGAATTTATGTAACACATTACATTAGATTGCAGGAGTGAAGCAACGGCATGTATGGACAAGTTTTTGGATTTGGAGGCGGAGCGTGCCTTAGAGACTATTCGTAATCAGGCAGCGGTAAGACCCATGAATGATGCTGAGATTGATGCGTTGGGGGTCAGAGTGCTCGATAATTTGTGTGCGGATCTTGCATGATCCAACCAGGAGTCTGAGGATGATGATGTACCTCTAGATAATGCAGTGGTTAGTAACGCTGAGCCCGGTTATGAGGACCGGGTGGAAGAACCTAGCAAACCAAAGCGCAAGTGGAAACGGAAGATTTATTCCGATTCTGCGGTTCGTAGGAGTGCTAGGATCCGGACTACCAAAAAAATTCATGACGAATTATGAAAGGAATCTTTTGGAATACCAGAGGTCTGAAAGACTTGGCTAAAAGAAGGTTCCTTGCTGAGGCATCTCTAGAGCATCGATTAGATTTTATTGATCTCTCGAAAACTGGTCGAGAGAACTTTGCGCCCCAGTTTCTTTCTTCTCTTGCGGGCAGTGTTGAGTTCGATTGGCATTGTCTGCCTCCGCGAGGAAGATCGGGTGGGATCCTGCTAGGTGTGAGATGCGATTCGCTAGAAGTCCGAAGTGTAGTGATGGGCGACTTCGCGGTTAAGTTTCGAGTCAGGTCTAAAGCTGATGGTTTCAAATGGGCTTTGGTGGCAGTATATGGTGCCGCACAGCCTGAGCTTAAACCAGAGTTTTTGGCGGACCTCGTGAGAATCTATGGATCCGAGCAACTTCCAATTTTAGTTGGGGTGATTTCAATATCATTAGGAGGAGAGAGGAGAAGAATAATGATAATTTCAATGGCAGGTGGTCGTTTATGTTCAATACCATTATTGAAAGCTTGGATCTGAGGGAGATTGAGCTTTCTGGCAGAAAGTTTACCTGGGCTAATGCTATGCCAAACCCGACATATGAAAAGCTTGATCGAGTTCTCGCAAGCATTGAGTGGGAGCAGAAGTTCCCTCTCGTAACGGTACAAGCCCTCTCGCGTGGAATATCTGATCACACACCCTTGTTTGTGGACTCAGGGGAGCCGAATCATGTGGGAAACAAAAATACCTTTTCCTTTGAGATGGCCTGGTTTGAACGCGAAGGTTTCCTGGACCTAATTGCCTGGGAGTGGGCTAAGGGTGCAGGAGGTAGGACTTCGGTCGAGCGGTGGCAGTATAAGATAAGGCATTTGAGAAGTTTCTTACGAGGGTGGGCTAAGCACCTTAGTGGGGTGTATAAGATTGAAAAGGATAGGCTCCTTTCTCTTATTCATGCCCTTGACGTAAAAGCTGAAACTACGATCTTGCAATCAGCAGAGCTTCAGGTTAAAATTGAGGCGGAGAAGAGGTTGAAAGAACTTCTCCGTGAAGAAGAATTGAAGTGGGCATTGCGAGCTAAGGTACGCAAAGTTGTCCAGGGGGACGCGAATACTCAATTCTTCCACTTGATTGCTTATGGTAAGCACAGAAAGAAGAGAATTTTTCAGCTTGAACAAGATGAAGGAACTATTTTAGGGCAGGACAATCTCAAAACCTATATAACCGAATATTATAAGCAGTTATTTGGACCTCCGGAGGATAGTTGTGTGTCCCTCGATGAGTCCAGGACTGAGGATGTGCCTCAACTATCGGCTGCTGATAATGATATTCTGGTTGCCCCGTTCACTGAGAAGGAGGTGTTTGATGCTATTGCACAAATGAAAAAGAATAAGGCTCCCGGACCGGATGGATTCCCGGTCGAGTTTTACAAAAAGTGCTGGCACATTATTAAGGGGGATTTCTTACCCGTGTTTCATGATCTGTTCTCTCGACAGCTTCAATTATTTCACTTGAATTTTGGAACACTCACACTGCTTCCTAAGAAAACGGATGCTGTGAGAATAGAGCAGTTCAGGCCGATCTGCCTTCTCAATGTTAGTTTCAAAATCTTCACCAAGGTCGGGACTAATAGGCTCACACAGATTGCGCATTCTGTGGTGCAACAGTCCCAAACTGCTTTCATGCCGGACAGAAACATCCTTGAAGGGGTGGTCGTCCTTCATGAAACGCTCCATGAAATCCATTCAAAAAAACTAGATGGTGTAGTTTTTAAGGTGGATTTCGAGAAAGCGTACGATAAAGTCAAATGGCCATTCCTCCAACAGGCATTGCGTATGAAAGGTTTTGATGAAGCTTGGCGCCGCCAGGTTGAATCGTTTACGCAAAAAGGGAATGTTGGAATTAAAGTGAATGACGATATTGGTCATTACTTCCAGACACATAAAGGCCTAAGGCAAGGAGATCCGATGTTCCCTATCATGTTTAACATTGTGGTTGATGTGTTAGCAATCATGATAGGAAGGGCTAAGGAGAATGGTCAAGTAGGTGGCTTGGTACCTCATCTTGTTGATGGAGGTGTATCCATCCTTCAGTACGCTGATGATACAATCATCTTTATGGAGCATGACTTGGCCAAGGCGAGAAATATGAAGCTGGTGTTATGGCTCTTCGAACAATTGACCGGCTTAAAGATTAACTTTCACAAGAGCGAGTTGTTCTGCTTTGGTAGAGCCAAGGATGAACAAGAGGCTTATAGGCAATTGTTTGGGTGCGATTTGAGGACTTTACCTTTTTCTTACCTAGGTATATACCAATCCACCACCGTAAGCTAACAAACAGAGAATGGAAATGCATCGAAGACCGATTTGAAAAGAAACTGAGTTGCTGGAAAGGCAAGCTCATGTCATACGGAGGCCGACTAATTCTCATAAATTCGGTGCTCACGAGTATGCCTATGTTTCTCCTATCGTACTTTGAAGTCCCAGTTGGAGTCAGGAAAAGACTGGACTTCTATCGATCGCGTTTCATCTGGCAGGGTG